GAGCACAGTCCAGCTGTTTCCAGAGCTCTCAGCCCACAGATAGTAAGAGGGTCAAACAACTGGTTAGAGGATTACAGGGTCTCTTTGCTAGCACTGAGGCAGGACTCTGTTGCTTTGCCCATACTTGGATCCAGGTCATAGTCCTGAGTCCCAGGGAGAGGAGGAGTACTAGCACACCCGAGCTTGTGGCCACAATGGACATGGAACTCTTGTCACAGTTCCAGGGCAGAAAAGACTGTTTATAGTCACTCACAGACCAGAGCATAGGCCAGGAGAGTAGTAAACACACCTCTCCTTAGATCATACCACCTTGGAAGAACTAAAAACTTACAGGTCTCTAAACATAGCTCTGAAAACAGTTGTACAAAACCCCTGAAGCTTGGGACAGTATGCCCTCCACCCTGGAAACAGAGTCCTACTTTTACAAAGAATTAAAAGTCAAGAAATAGGGTGGGAAAATGAGCAAACAACAGAAAAAATTCTGAATATAGAAAGTTAGTATGATGACAAAGAAGATCAAAACATACACTTAGAAGATAACAAAGTCAAAGTTCCTACATCCAAAGCCTCCAAGAAAAATATGAACTGGTTTCAGGTCATGGAAGAGCTCAAAAAGGATTTTGAAAATCAAGTAAGATAGGTAGAGGAAAAAATTGAGTAGAGAAATGACAGTGATGCAAGAAAATTATGAAAAACAAGTCAACAGTTTGGTAAAGGAGACACCAAAAATCCTGAAGAAAATGACCACCTTAAAAAACAGAGTAGGCCAAATGATAAAAGAGATATAAAAAGCCAATGAGGAGAAGAATGCCTTAAAAAGCAGAATTTGCCAAAATGGAAAACGAGGCACAAAAATTCACTGAAGAAAAAAACTAGTTAAAAAGTAGAGTTGGCCAAATGGAAAAAGAGGTACAAAAACTCCCTGAAGAAAATAATTCCTTAAAAATCAGAATTGAATAAATGGAAGCCAATAACTTTATGAGAAATCAATAAACAATAAAACAAAACCAAAATGATGGAAAAAAACAATGTAAAATAGTCACTGGAAATACAACTGACCTGGAAAATAGATCCAGGAGAGATAATTTTAAAAATATTGGACTACCTGAAAGCCATGATGAAAAAAAGAGCCTAGAATCATCTTTCATGAAATTATTAAGGAAAACTGCCCTGATACTGTAGAACCAGAGGGTAAAATAGAAATGGAAAGAATCCACTGATCACCTCCTGAAAGAGATCCCAAAATGAAAATTCTCAGGAGTATTATAGCCAAATTCTAGAGCTCCCAGGTCAAGGAGAGAATATTGCAAGCAGTCAGAAAGAAACAATTCAAGTGGGACAGTTAGGTGGGGCAGTGAATAGAGATCTGGCCTTGCAGTCAGGAGGACCTGAGTTCAAATCCAGCCTCAGACACTTGACACTTACACTTACCTTGGGCAAGTCACTTAATCCTGACTGCCTAAGCAAAAAGAAAAAAGAAAGAAAGAAAAGAAAAGAAACAATTCAGGTATTGTGGAGCCAGTTAGGATAACAAATTATTTAGCAGCTTCTATATTAAAGGGTTGGAGAACCTGGAATATGATATTCTGGAGAGCAAAGAAGCTAGGATTACAACCAAGAATCACCTATCCAGCAAAACTGAGTATAATCCTTCAGGGGAAAATGGATATTCAATGAAATAAAAGACTTTCAAGCATTCTTGATAAAAACACCAGAGCTGAATAGAAAATATGACTTTCAAATACAAGACTCAAGAGAAGCATAAAAAGGTAAACAGGAAAGGGAAATCAAAGGTTAAACTGTTTATATTCCTATATGTGAAGATGATACTTGTGACTCATTAAAACTTTTAGGGCAATTAGACGGAGTATATATAGACAGAGGGCACAGGTGTGAGTTGAATATGAAGGGGTGATATCTAAAAAAACTAATTAAGGTGTGAGAGAGGGATATACTGGGAAAAAGGGAAAGGGAGAGGTAGAATGGGGCAAATTATGTCACCTAAAAGAGGCAAGAAAAAGCTTTTACAATGAAGAGGAAGAGGGGGAGGTGAGAGCATTAGTGAAACTTACTCTCATCAGAATTGGTTCAAAGAGGGAAAAATATACACACTAAACTGGAGATAGAAATCTATCTTACTTTACAGGAAAGTAAGAGGGGAAGGGGATAAGGAAAAGGGTCTGTGATAGAAGGGAGGGCAGATTGAGGGAGAGGGTAGTCAGAAGCAAAACACTTTTGAGGAGGGACAGGGTGAAAGGAGAGACAGAATAGAATAAACGGGAGGGGGAATAGGATGGAAGGAAATACAGTTAGCAATAATAACTGTGAAAAAAATTTTAAAACAAGTTTCTCTGATAAAAACCTCATTTCTCAAAAAATATAGAGAACTAAGTCAGATTTATAAAAATAAATCATTCTCCAATTGATACATTATCAAAAGACACGAAGTTTTCAGATGAAGTAATCAAAGCTATCTATAGCCATGTGAAAAAATGCTCTAACTCACTACTGAATGGAGAAATGCAAATTAAAATAATTCTGAGGTATTACCTCATATCTATTAGGTTGGCTAATAGGACAGAAAAGGAAAATGACAAATTTTGGAGGGGATGTGAGGAAAATGAGACATTAATGCACTTATGGAGTTGTGAACTGATTCAACCATTCTATTTGGAATGGTTGGAACTATGCTCAAAGGGTTATAAAACCAGGCATACCCTTTGACCTAGCACTGCCACTACTAGGTCTGTATCCCAAAAGAGATAAAAACAAAAAGGAAAAGGAACAATATGTACAAAACATTTACAGCAGCTCTTTGCTGGTGGCAAAGAATTGGAAATTGAGGGGACACCCATCAATTGGGGAATGGTTGAACAAATTATGGTATGTGATTATGATGGAATACTATTGTGCTATAAGAAATGATGAGCAGGATGCTCTCAGAAAAATCTAGAAAGAATTACATGAGCTAATGCAAAGTGAAATGTACTGTGTACAAAGTAACAGGAGTATTTTAAGATGATCTTCTGTGAATGAGCTATTCACAGGAATACAATGATCCAAGACAACTCTGCAGGCTTTATAATGAAAAATACTGTCCGTCACCAAAGAAAGAACTGATGATATCTGAATACAGATTGAAGCACACTTTTTTACTTTCTTTATTTTTCTTTAGGTTTTTTTTTTTGGTCTATGTCTTTTTTTTTTCACAACATGACTAATATAGAAATGTTTTGCATGACTACACAGGTATAACCCATATCAAATTGCTTGCCTTCTCAATGAAGGGGATGAGGATGGAGGAAGGGAGAGAATGTGGAACTCAAAGTTTTAAAACTGAATGGTAAAAATTGTTTCTACATGTAACTTGGGAAAAATAAAATACTAAATAAATTCAAAAAAAATTTTTTTAAGAGTTCCTTTTATAGAACCAATTTCCCTACATTCTGGAAGTTAAGACTTAATAAAGCTTACTGGTCCTTTGGTTTGTGGGCCAAGCCTAGAATGGAGCTCATTTTCTTGACTAGGTAGTAAGTTAGAGGAATCCAAGGGTGAATCTAAAATTACTCAAGTGGCCTATTTTTTATAAAGCGTGTTGAAAGGAATTTAGAGTGGAGAGGCAAGGAGAAAAAAAAAACAAAGGAAATAAACAAAACAACAAATGTATAAAAAGTTAATGGATCATGCAACAATGAAGGAGGAAAGGAAGGGAGAAGGAAGTAAAAAAGATGAACATGTAGGAGAGGGCGAAGCAGACCTTAAGTGCTGGCAAACATATTGAAGCCCTCTGAGCTTCAGGAGGATTTTCTCCTTCTCTCCTCCCCGGCAGCATAGTTGGGAAGCCAAAAGGGGGTTCTGTGTGATCCAGCCTAGTCAAGCTGTGATTCTGAAACATTTAACTGTGTCCAAGGTGAGTACCAGCTCACAAGCAGAAGTCATCATTTTGGGATCTTTCAAGGACAGCCTGGCAGCTGTTGCCGAAACATTTCATTTCCTTACATACGAAAAGAATATTCTAGAAGCCTCAGGGGAGGGAGGTGGCTTTGATGCCACATTGTGGTGTGTAGATGACCCTGGGTTCTGAAAGGCTAGACCAGGGGATCAAAAGAGATTGAAGATCCCACCAGGCTGAGAAGGTTTTGAGTTAAGACCCAGTCATTAACTACATGCCCTTTTTCTGAATCAGCCTAGCTAAATTCATAAGGTCACCATTAGAAGCCCTTGTCACAGCAACTCCTCCTCTTCTTCCTCCTCCTCCTCCTCCTTCTCATCATCATCATCACTAGCATTTATATAAGACTTTAAGGTTTGCAAGGTTTTTTTTAAACAAATATTATCCCATTTTTCCTTACAACAGTTTTAAAAGGTAAGTACTATTATTATTCCTATTTTACAGATGAGGAAACTGAGGCAGACAGAGGTTAAGTGACTTGCCCAGTGTCACATAGCTAGTAAGTGTCTGAGACCAGATTTGAACTCATATCTTCCTGACTCCAGGCCTGGTGCTCTATCCACTTCATCCCGGGCTGTCTACTAGGTCGAGGAGAGGTTGGTTGCCATAGGCAAGAATTACCTGAACCATTAAAACCATGGATCCTTAAGTATGAAAATATGGGTGCTGCATCACAATGATGCCCCTGACATCTTGACTGGGTTTATAAATAGCTTGTTTTCCTCCTTCCTGTTCAGCAAAATACCTGATGGCTATGTATGGGCACCAATTTTCTCTCTGTGGCTTTGTACTTAGATGACTGGCGTAGGCAGATAGCTCATTGATAGTGGTTTCATATTAGAAGCTCCTAAGATTAGAAAATGTCATAGCTAGCAGGAAATGCTCATCAGAAAACACCTGTCAGCAATGGCTTCACCCACAAAAGCCCCCCGCTAAGTGGTCTGGGTTGATGTTGCCTTGTGGCTGCTTAATGCAAAGCATCCTGCTGTAAATGATTCCCTTTTATGTCAAACTCTAGTTCACAGAAAACAGAGCTCTTTCTACTTACCAGCCCTCGAAACAATGAGTTGTGTACAGAGATACGATTGAGTCTGACCTATTTGTCTGAAATTTTCAAAAAGAAAAATTGATAGTCACCATTGCAACTTGCCAAAACTCCCCATTAATAAGTAACTTTGCATCTGATTTCTTTCATAATCTAGAACAATGTGAACTCTATTACTCTTATTGATCACTCCCCTCCAAATTACACTAAAGAAATTTGCTGTCTCAGGCAAATCCAATTTCTCTCAATGAGTTGTTGCAAGCAGACCATTATTATTGGTTAGTTCAGAAAGGCTAGGCTGTCTGCCGGCATTGATTTCTAAGTGAATTTTGTTTTCTCTGCAGAAGAAGAGACCTGAATCTGTTATTTAAAAAGCCACAGAAAGTATTTATGGGCCTTTTGTACACACACAAAACATGGTGTGTCAAATTTCTATCTCAATACCAACCTTGACAGTACCCCTTGAAGCCACAAATTTTCCTCTGCACTTTTGGATAACGTTCTCCATTCATCAACTTTGAAAACTAACACAGGTGTAGAGATGAAATATCTCTCATTTACATACCTTGTCAGACAGTCTAAAAATTCTGGCTCCAGCTAGGCTGTTGGGATTTGACTGTAGGCATGCCAAGAGGTTCCCCTTTGGAAATGACCACATTCTTGTGGCAACTATGTGTCCCCACATGGGATCAGGCAACAGGGACTCAAGGTAGGCAATAAAATAGGGTTCCCCTGGGGATAGCATCCTACAGATGCTGCTGGGCTGATCTGTATCTGGAACACCTTACCAGTATTTACAAATGGCAGGCTATAAATTTCACTGAAAAGGCCCTGGGATAGAAGCAGTCCATTTTAATAAATAAAATGGTTTCCAGTTGATACAAAAATATTGAAATCTGACATGAGCACATATATGGAACTGATTCAAATGTGATAAATATATCCCCAAAGGAAATTATGAGATTTATTAAAAATCTAGGATGGCTGAACAGGGCTAAAATCATCTTCCACTCTGGCACTGGCTGAAAATCTAGTTACTGGTACTGGGTGACCCAGAAAGTCAACCAAAGAGGAACATCAATAAATAAAAAAGGAGCAGGAACTGATTTTTTTTTTGCTAACTTACAAGTGGCTCTGAACTATGGTGCTATACCAGGCAAGCTTTGAGTCCATGAAGTGAGTAACTCTACCTCACCAACAAAATGTGATGTGTTGATGACTGTTATATTGCATCTGAAATCCCATTTACTAGTAATAGAAAAGTTCAGTTAAGACTTTTGCCTTATGTCTCTGGGTACCTTGTATCGCTGTGTGTGATATTACCAATTTTCACTTCAGGAGGATTCACTGTAAGAGCTCAGATTTTCACAGAAATTTGCACATTTGATCCAGGGTGAAATTAGACCATTTTCATAGCCAATCAGCTTTTCCTTAGTGGCAGTATGATAAGGTATTTTTTTTCACATATAGTAATTTTTAAAAAATGTTTTTATGAAAATGCGCCCCCAGTGAAATGACCCTATAGGATGAGCTGCTAACACAGTGACCTTATAGGACAAGCTGGCCGGCAGAATAAGCTACTTAGCCCCACTGGCTTCAACCTTATCCCTAAAAATGGAGATAATGCTAAAAATCAATCTCCCATTGGAGTCGTAAAATTTCTTTAATAAACACCCAGGAAGCTTTGAAATCCCAACCCAAAGAGGTCCACGGAAGGGCAAAGCACTGCTAATGGGGATGTTTTGTGTATTTTCACCTAAATGTGATTTTCTTTCTGGAGCAGGTCCTGGCAGCTGGAATTTATTCATATAGCCCTGCTGATTTGCAGAAACGGGAGTAAATACCATGCCATTTGCAGTGATTACCATGAGCCCCCTTCAGGAGAAATGATCTACAGCTTCCCGCAGCACATTAAGGTGGCGGATTGAGGTATGGGCCTAGCTCTGCTATTCTGTATACACTTAGCTAGGTTGCAATTTATTTTCAGGCAAGGCCATGAGGTGCTTCCAGAGGAGAAGAGGAAAGAAAGAAGAGCATTTGCTAGGAAATTCTCCTCTTTGAACAGAAGCCAAAAATGAATTCACCAGTGTTTTGCCTTAGGGTACTATTGCCTTTTTTTTTTTAAAAAGAGGGTGAAGGTGGGAGCTACCCTTACATTGAAAAAAAAATAATGAAGTTCTTTTGTTTCAGGTTTGTAACTGGGATAGAAAAGCTGGCAATGTCCCTCCATCCTCCCCCTTTGCAAAAATGCCCTTCGAAAACTTTTTCCTTGAAATACTTCATTTTGCTCATTTTCCATATTTGAGGTCAGGTGTGCCTCACAATCTGAACTCTCTGACTCATCTGTTAGCCATGGTCCTTTTTCATTGCTCTTGGAAAGGGTGTTGAAATGTCTTCCTTGGGTGATACTAGGGCTTCTGCTACAAGCAGCAGTTTATAGGTAAATGTTTAACATTGGGCTCTCTGAGGGTAGGGGGAGTATGCAGGATCCATTTTTTAAGTTTAATCTGCATTAATATTTTCTCCATCAGACTGTCAGTCACAAATACTTAAGTGCCTTCGACGTGCCAGGTGCTGTGCTAAGCACTGGGGATACCAAAAGAGGCAAAGGCATTCCCTCCCCTCAGGGAATTCACAATCTAACTGGAGAGACAAAGAGCAAACAAACTGACTGTATACAGGATTAATAGGAAATAATTAAGAGAGGGAAGTCCCTCCAATTAAGAGGGCCTAGGAGATAGATTTCCTTAAGTGTAGCCAATCAACAAAACAAAAATCAAGCCTGGATCTGTAGCATCCTCACATTGAAAATTTAACAACTGGCTCCCCGCAGCCTTCTGATCTGGCTCCAGCATATATCTGAGCAGGCAGGTGGGTGGGAGGAACAGAATTGAAAGGAAAGAAGGGTTTATGTGACCAGAAACACTTTCATTTCCATTCTGATAAATCTGGATGCTCAAGAAAATTAGGCATTTAAGTCCTGGAGAAGCAGTTGGCTATTTATGGCCTAACTAGGTTGGAAAGGGTTTTAGAATTAACTTAGTCCAACCTCCCTTTTTCTTACAGATAAGCATGTTAAAGTGCACCACTCCAAGTTACTCAGGTAGTAAGAAGCATTGAGAGGATTCAAACTCAGGCCTTCTGCTTCTGAAGACAAAATGGGTATGGGGTAGGAAAATAGACTTTGACAACAGAATTGTCTGTTGACATCCCCGAGTTCTACTCCATGCTGACTACAAGTCATGAGTTTTATGAACTCACTAAGCTTTCCAAAAATACAGCATTTTCCCATCGACTAGGATGAATTAACTTTTGGAATTAACTAGTAGCTGCCATTTTTTTTCCTGGAAAAAAATAGCCTTAATGTAGTAATTTTACTGGCATTACTTAGTCTAGTTTTATTGAATTTCCAGGAAAAGATTTGAGGCATCAAATGTCACTCTGCGTAAAATGTGTAAGGTAATAACTTCTAAGACAGGCTACATGAAATTATGGTCGATTTGGAATCGTTATCTCATAGCAGGTATGTCAATGTATACACATCAAATACTATAATGAAACCAAGCCCAGAGCACAGCAATTCAGATAGGGATCAATGGAACAGAAACCTACCTTGGATGGTGGCTTCTCTATGGCAGACACAACAATATCTGTGGCGTGAGCCCCCTTCAGTTTTTTGACATGGGCATAGTTTGCTCGCATAGCCACCCGTCGCTTTATATCTGCAAAGGGCATTTTAGAAAACACATCATCATGTTTATACAGAGTCACTTTTTGGACCTTGGTATGATGAAAAACTCAGAGAGATGTTGGTCTGCTCCATCCCTGGCTATCTCATTGCATATGCTTTCCTTCCTTTTTTAACTTCTTAGTAGGTATTACTGTTAAATCCAGAAAGACTGCAGTTAGGGGGAAGGAGAACTCAGGGCAGACAGCCAGGTGACTCTAGGCTGTGCATTAACGAAATTCGGCAAAACTAGCAGAGGTCTAGGGAAAGGTCCAAGATAGGAAAAAAGAGACTGATCCTAACAGCTGGTGGGGAGCATTCTCAAATGGCATTCATTCCTTCACTGTTGTTTACGACTTGTTTTGATTTTGATGTGTCTAAGAATTTGGGGGTGAAAGTTATTTAAACATTCTATGGTTGTTTTTGCAAAAATCAGATCCATTTTCAAGCAACTGGAGTGAGTTTTCCATTATTCATTTCTATATCCCTCGACTTCCCTGAACTCTACTGAGGTACCTAAAAAAAAGAAAGGTTATGTCCGAGTGCAGAAAATTCCTCCACTGAAGTCTAGCCAGTATGTCATAGGAAAGTCATGTGTGGAATGAAAACCTTCCCTGGCAGTTAAATGCCCCTCAATGCCCATAAATGTGGTGTGTATTGGAGCCAAAACCAGGCATAGCATACTCTAAGTGCCTCAGTCTGTCTCCTTAGGAGTCCTGTGAAATGTACCTTTTGAAACATGCCAATTATTTTTTAAAGAAATAAAATAAATAGAAAAATACCCAATTCATCCATTATAAGGTTCTGAAGCAAAATAAAATGAATGTCATTGACATCAGATAGTTTTCCCCAGTGCATCTGTCACACTCTGGGAGGAAATCCATTCATTCTTCCAGGCCACAAAGTCACCATGTCAAGACTCACACTGTACCACATCCCACCAGGAATTTATTCTCTGCCCTCATGTGAATCTGGAGAATTAACAAACATTGAGAGTAGATACTCCCAGGAAGCAACTTCCAAAGGGAGGGAAGTCTCATTTTTAGTAATGGTAATTCACAGTGATATCACTGTGGATCTAAAATGGAGCTGCCTGCCAACATCCCCTTTCCCTGGGCCTTTGTGTCTACCAAGCGGATAAATGACAATGAAGATGATATTTGCATTCCTTATTTCATATAATTCTCTGCATGTCCACTGCTGAGAAGGCAGTCTGTATCTGTCTCTGACCCAGATACCCTCTTATTTTGGTTGACTTCCTGCAACAGCCAGACAATAAGGGCAGGGACATTGTACAAGCATGGCTCCCAACCTCGGGGTTGGGAGACCCTAGAGCCAGGTTACTTTGGAAGAACCCATACCTCTGTTCTCTAATCACCTCCTGGGTTTTCTGGGTCTCTTTGACTAAACCTTGTACTCAGTGATAGTACTCCATGAATACTCATGAATTAAGATGTAAGTAGAGAATCATGGCAGCCACACAGTGAGCAGCAATGAGGAGCTGGGAGAAAGGAGCCAATTAATGACAAGAGAGAGCCGAGGATGAGGCAGTATCGTGCTCAGAATTCCAGAAGAGTGGGAAGAGGGAGCATCCCTGACCTCACTTTCCTCACTCTGTATCAGCTCTGCTCTCCAACTCAAGCCTTCCATATCTTTTGTACTCCTGTGGCCCATCGTTTTCATTATCATCATCATGATCATCATCAATACCATCATTACTATAGTTTTGAAAACTTCCACTATGTATAAGCTGAATACATATTAATGATGAAAGTGTTTTAAAGGAAAATGTCTAGAGTTGTTACCATTATAGAGGTTCTACCATTATATCCAGACACTAAATTTTCCTTGTAATGATATACATTCAACCCAAATTCCTAGTACAGTAGAAAGGAACATGGGTACTGGAGTCAGAGGACCTGGGTTCGAATCCCACCTCTGAGCATTACTTCCTGTGTGACCTAGCGACAAGTCACTTCACCTCCCTGGGGTGCAGCTTTCTCATCTGTAGAATGAGGGGGTTTGGACAGGTGGCCCCTGAAACCCTTTCCTTATCTAGATCCATGACTTGGTTTATGTTTTTTCCAGTTGCGCTTTTTTTTCTTTTTTAAAGCGATACCAGTTTGCCTGAAAGTTCCCAGAATACCACGTTGTTGAGTTGGGTTTTCTTTTTTAACTTGCCCACCAGTTAAAGAGCTAGTCAGCGTCTCGGAGTCCAGGACTCAAACAGAGGCTTCCTGGCTTGAAAGATAATGCTCTTTTCATAGAAGCATACCGCCTTACACGAGAAGTCTACAAGACGGGTCAGTAAGAGAGGGAAAAAATATGTTCAGATACATTGCTTATGAAAGAAATAAGATAAGAGATGAAAAATCAGTGCTAAAAGTGATGACAGCCTGGTATTATGGGGAAAAATGTTGACTCTGGAGTCAGAGGCCCTGGGATCAGATAATTGCTGCCTCTATGATCTTGGGCTAGCTGTTTAAACTCTCTGGGCCTGTTTCTTGAGGAGACTAGAGGGGACTACATGATTGGAGAGGTTCCTTCCTACTCTAAATCAGTGATCTTAAGCTAGAAATTGACTTGGCAAAAAAAAGAAAAAAAATTTTAAAAAAATTGGCTTAGCACTAAAAAAAGGAAGCCTAAAAGTTGTTTTACTTCTGGTTAACAAAATATTCAATATTAAATCATCAGACATAGCGTACCGAGGTGCCTCACTAAAATACTGTCTTTGGGACTTTAGCTATGGGCTTACCTTATCAAATAGACCTTTTGATATTTTTTTTTAATGAAATCTTGCTTGGATGAAGTCCACAAGTAACCTGCCTTACCTAGAATCCTCCACTAGAGTAAAGCATAGGAAGTAAGATTTCAGTTTATGGTGAAATTTAATTGACTAGAACATGTGGTTGTATGGTGGGGTGGAGGGAAGCAAAACATTTGAAATGTTCACTGTAGAGGGATTTTAAAAGTCAGAAGGCTTTTTGTCTTCTGTAGGGTAAGAGAAAAAAAAAGTGAGTGTTTACCAAAAGGTAATTGAAACCTGATAAATTTAAGACCAGGGAGTACCTTTATGGCTTACAAAATGATTTCCAGCAGAAACACAAATGACCATGTCCCTCTTGATATCATTCCAAGATGTCAAAGGCTTTCCATCCAGGGTGAACATGGTCTTGGCTGGGCACGTCATTCTGAGGCGCAGGGAGCAACTATCCAGGAGCTGAAATGAAAAGGAAAAGTCAGGCTTAGGAGAAATCATAATCGTTAGAAGAAAAGTAACTGAGACGGTGATGAAGCATTCAGGTTTGCAGAGCACTTGACCGAGATGTTCTCAGGTCATAGACCAGATATGGAGGGATAGGGCTATTTGCTTGTCATGTTCCATGTTAGAATGTGGGCTCCCTGAGGTTAGGGATCGTGTTTTTGTCTGCCTTTGTACCCCCAGCACTTGGCACATTAACACAGAGGAAGTGTTTACTAAACCTTTGTTAAATGAATGACTAACTGAGATATAAGCCAAGTGTCAGGAAAACTTAGAGCACCCCAGCATCTCAAGGGAATTAGTCAATGTAGAAGCTTATAGTCCCTCAAAAGACGCCAGGGTAAGTATTGCATCAGGCGTTGGCCTGGCACATAGTAGGTTCTTAATAAATGTTTCTAGACTATTGCATGAGTCAGCATGGTTTAGGGCAATGGTTCTCAAACATTTTAGTTTCAGAATTCCTTCACATTCTTTAAAATTATTGAGGACCACCCCCCTCCACTTCTAAGAGCTTTTGTTCTCTGGGTTCTATATCTTGATATTGACTGTATTAGAAATTAAACCATCATATTATTACAATGAAAATAGCTTTGACTTTGTGTATCCCCTGAAATGATCTCAGGGGTCCCTGTGGGGATCACCAGACCACAGTGGTTTGAGAACCACTGGCTTGGACATAAAGAGGTGGCCTTGAAGTCAGGAAGAAATGGATTTCAGCCCTGCCTCTGATTCATACAGGATGTGTGACCCTGGGTAAATCACTAGGCTTCTCAGCACCACAGGCAAGTGTCTATAGGACTCCAGGGTTCCACGTGGGTGCCAATCTGCTCTGGGAGAAGGAGTTTCCTTACCTGGACATGTCAAAGGCAGTTATGTTAAGATATTTAAATTCATTTTAAGGTTGTTCTTTAAAATAAAAAAGCCATTTATTAAGGCCTTTTTGTTTTTGCCACTATAGGCATTTCCAGATCATCAGTCCGGAGGATTGTTGCCACAAATGAGCCCTCTGCCCTAGTAACCAGGAAAACCAGTGGGGTGAGGATCCAGCTTTTGTTTTCTTCAAACAAAGAAAAAGATGGCAGCACTTTGCAGCGGATAGAGCACTGAGCTGCAAGTTAGAAGGCCTGGGTGCTAGTCCTTGTTCTGCCACTAATGAGCTATGTGACCTTGGGCAGGCCATTTCCCCTTGATTTCCTTTCCTTTAAAATAACAGAGTTGGACTCAGTGATATTTAAGATACCGTCCAGCTCAAGCATTCTATAACTAGGAATGCTTTTATAAATCTATTTTAATGCATATAATTATAAATTGAACATATCCTCATTCCATTGTATTATTATTTTAAATTCTAAGTGGAAATTCTGCTGAATGCATTCCATTTCCCGTTGAATTATTAGATGAAGTCCAACCAGTTATACGAGTATTACAGAGATGATCATTTTAAAGCCATTTTCAGGAATAATCTTTATTCCAAAAGATGCAAGCCATATACAGTTGATGTGCTAAATATATCATTAGCTCTCCCTTTTACAGATGTGCCCCCACTTTAGGCAAGAAGTGAGTAGTAATTGGAGGCTTCAACTGTCTGTAGAATGGTGAGCTTTCTTTCTATTAAAAGTAAAGCAGCTGATAAATTCTTGATTTGACTCAATTATTCTTCAAAAGTAGAGGAAGCCAAGAGGTGAACTGCTGTTTTTGACCTGATTATAACCACAGAATCAAAGAATCTCAGCATTGAAAGGGACCTTAGAAGCCATCTGGTCTAACATATCACTGCACAAGAAATAAGGAGACCCTGGGTAACAGAGGAAAAATGACAGGTACCTTAAGAGGTTATAATTTGGGACACATAATCAAGGGTGAACTAGCCATGCGACCTTGGCACGTAACCTTGATGATGACAAAGACAACAGGAGAGAGGGTAGGACTGAAGCAAGCATTTATTGAGCACCGACTATATGCCAGGCACTGTGCAAAGTGCTAAACAAACAGAAAGGGAATCTCTGCCCCCAAGGAGCTTACATTCTAAAAGGTGAAGTCAACACACAGGAGAACTTTTATGAAAAGGGGGGAGTGGAGGAAGGGCCCAGTGTGGAGGCACGGTTTTGAAGGCCAGAAAACTCCGAGCCAGGCTGAGAAGGAGGATGGAGACAGACTGGCTTCAGTCCTTCCACAAAATGCAGGATCCATGAGGAACTCACCACTGGGAGAAGGCGGGGCAGGCCTCACAGTGAAATATTTCTGGGTGAACAGGCCACAGGAGTGGTGGGCTACTCCAAGGAGAGGAGACCCCTGGGAGCTGAGGGAAGTCCCAGGATGAGCCAGCAGTAAAAACTGCATGGTTTTGAAGTCCAGAAAGTCAGGAACAGGTCCAGGAGGATAGCAAAGATAAGAGACTGGATGGACCTATGATTTTCTTGGTACAGGAAGCTTCCTAGAGAGGAAATGCCCTCTGCCGATGCAACTTTGCACCTTTTCTGAAACTTAGTCTGAGAGCTGTCTAGTTCTTACCAAGGGTCCCACAACTAGTATATGTCAGAGGTGAGACTTGAAACCAGGCCTTCTTGACCTCAAAGTCAGCTTTCTATCTACTACTCTTTGCTACCTCAACTAAGAATAATAATAATGAGTAATAATAAATCCTGATATTTTGATTCAATTATAAAAAGCAGCTATTTTATCCATCCACGAAATAGGCTGTAGAACATTGAACATTAAGGAATAATAGCATAATAGAGACTTGTCCTGGGACTGTTTCTCTCTGAATTCCATCAAAATGAGATAAAAATAACAATAATAGCAGCGAACATATATATGGTGCTTTAAAGTTTGCAAAATATTTGACATATATCATTTCATCTGATCCTCACAATAATTCTACGAGGTAAGGTGGTATCATTATTATTATTATTCTCATCTTGCAGATGAGGAAACTGAGGCTGAAACCTAAAAAAGTGTCTGAGACAGGATATGAACTCTGTCTTCCAATGCTCTATCTACTTCTCCCTGGCGGCGAGCACATTTCAGAGTCCAGAGACAGGATAGGTAGGCTTTCCTAATTCATTTCATCATTCATAATTCCATTAGGGAAGATGCCTCAAAAGATGTGAAAAACTTAAGAATAAATTCTGATTTAGAAGGAAAGAGGCAGCTCTATACAGAAATTGATGTGAATATGAAAGGAACTCAGTGGCAAATTGAGATAAAAAAAATACAGAAAATGAAGGCTAAAGTGGGTAAATTGAGAATGACTATAAAAGAGTAGATATTGTGATAACAATGTCAGAAAGTGGTAAAGCCTGGAATGAGCTGAGGCTGGCAATGAATGAAAAAACAAAAAGACTTTAAAAAATTTAAGGCTATATTGGACGTAAGAGGATGAGGGGGAAGGGGAGATGACCTGCTGAAGAGATGGGCTGTTCAAACAGCAGGACAACTGATGGGCAGCCTGTGCCCTCCACTGCTACCCACACGACAATATGATAGGAGGGGATCTGGGAATGCTTTGCCCTCTTCCCCCCTCCCACTCCTTCCCATGGAAGACTGCTGGAGGTCATTGACAGAAGGTGGAGAAGGTACAGAGAGGTTGTTATCTGTACCCTTGAAGGGAGTACCCACATCGACAAGATCACAGATCCATTGAAGTCTCATCAAAGTGGGTAGAGAGAGATGCTACAGATGTAGGAGGAGATCAGTCCTTTAGGACCAGACAAAGCTTGGCCAGACAGCAGAGTACACTGGTTCTGGTATCTGAGGACCTGGCTTCAAATCACAGCTGTGACTTAACTACACTCGTGACCTTAGGCACGTCGCCTAACTTGTCTGTGCTTCAGATGCAGCATCTATAAAATGAGGGAGACAGAGGGCGGGGAGGTAGACGGTATGACCTCTGTGATCTCCTCCAACTCTAAAGTCTATGATGCTAAGTCACAGAAAAGCTCTGGGCTTGAAGATTCAGCTACTAAACCCAGAGGAGAGAGCTGTTCTGGTGTACTGGGAAGAGATGGGACCACCTGCAGAGAAGAGTCATTTTGGCAAAGGTGGGTAGAAAAAGGTGAGTAGAAAGTTGCTGAATTGGCTGGACTTTTCACGTTTATGAGAAAAATAAAGAGAAGGCTGGGCCAGCACCAAAATTTTGGGTAGCCCTAGTTTGATTTGCTATATGAAATGCACAGAGAAAAATACTGAAATATGGGTTCTACTGTATTTCTCATTCATCTGGTACCAGGACCATTCATTCATTCAACAAATATTTATTAAGGTTTACTGTGGACAATGAACTATTCTAGGAAGATACAAAAGGAAATAAAGAAGAATCTGCCCCTGTGCTTGAAGTTTTTAATCACCTGATAGTCAGAAATAAGATGTGCATATGGATAAATATAACACCCACTGGAATATGCTTTGTTTTTTGTTTCTGTTTTGTTTTGTTTTTTTAATCTGGACCTGTAGTTTCATTTGTACAAGGACTCCAAGGATTACAGACACACGACATTTGAGTGATGAAAAGCAACTCAGCAGCCATTTAATCCAATAGTTCCACAAAAGGAATCTCTACCACAATAGATTCCCCAAGTGGTGATCCACCCTCTGCTTGAAAACCTGCAAAGGTAAGGAACTCAACACCACTCAAGGTAGCCCAATACACTCTGGGGCAGCCCTAATTGTTGTGATGTTTTTCCTGACATTCAATCTGTATTTGATTTTGTAGGACTTCTACAAATTCTTCCTTGTTTTACCCTCTGGGACCAAATAGAACAGAACTGATCTCTTCTCCATATGATGGCCCTTCAAATATTTGAAGATGACTACAATACACTCCCTGGGTCCTCTTTTCTGTAAAGTAAACATGCTCACTTCCTTCAACTGATTTTCATATGACATAATCTCAGGGTCCTTCGTCATTCTGTTTGCCTTCCTTGAGATACTCTACAGCTTATTAATGTCTTTGTTAAACC